AGGTGCTGCGACGAGGTGGAGCTGCTGCAACGGCTGTGACGGCGGCGAGGGATGACGACGGCAGCCTCCTCTTCCCTCCTTCCTCCTTCCTCCCTCTCCCTCTTCCTCTCCTTCCTCCCTCTTCTCTGCGTCTCTTCTCTACGTTTTTTTTTTTGAAAATTCGCCCCCAAAACGACGTCGTTTTGGGGGCGACAGGGGAAGGCGACGGGTGATCCGGATTCGAATTAAGAAGCAGCTCCGCGGGAGATACGGATTGGCCACGTGTTGGCTTGTTAGTGGCTTCACTTTCCTATAACTAGGGAAGAAGGGATCAGAATGTAGGAAAGAAAAGAAAGAAGAAATGGAAGAAAGAAAAAGAGAAGAAAAAGAAAAGAATAGTGGGAGTTGAAGGAGTCGATAGTGGAAAGAAAGAGTTAGGTATTAAAGTTAAGATGAGTTATATTATACCTTGAGTCATTAAAATGTATTTTACGTATGTTTTGACTTACCAAAATCTATTTTATACAAGTTATGTTTTTAATAAAAATTATGTTTTATAAAGATTTCAGTTACGTGGTTTATCTTCTGAACCCTATTTGCTTAAAAGGAAACCCATGGATATGTTTGTTTTACTTTTAAAGAATATTTGACTATGACCTTATAAACAATTATGTTTTGTAAGTACCATCACGGGAGTCCCATGCCTTAGGGGACTTAAATAACCATTGGCTTTTGTTTGGCCACTTTGTGATTCTTTGTTTGTCATGGATCCATTGACCTCTGTTTTGTGCGGACCAAAGTGCTGTGCAGAACTAAGTGCTACACTATTGTGGGAGCCATCTCTAGAATCCGTACGAGCCACCTCTTGAATCCGTACCTCTGTTCTGACTGTCACTCCTGTGACCTCTGCTCTGTTCTGTTCTGTATCGTGGTTATGGTCATTTACTGACATAATTTATGTATTTCAGTTTCTGCTACTTAAATAATTTGGTGACTACTGATTTATTTACCAAACTGAGTTATGTAAACGTTTTGGCCTAACTAACGATCCATGGTTATTTCGTGTCCCTTATACTCTTAGTATAATGTTTCTCACTCTGCTATGTGCTTATAGTTTTTTACCAATTTTCAGGAAACATGCAATTCAGAAATAGCTTCTGGAAAGTCTTAGATGCAGGGCTGCGAAATAGACACACACACAATATTTGTTATGATATTTTTATATGTAAATATCGGCTGTTTTGGGTCAATACATTTTGTAATAAAAGTAGAAGCTCCAATGATTATTTTGGTACCCTTATTTAAATTTTACTTCCGCTCGCGTTTATTGATTTGTTATGAATTGGCTGCAGGTAACCCTAGTTACTGGCCATCACGATACTTAACCCTTGGTTACGGGGAGCGGGTCGTGACAAAATATTATAAAAATATTGTGATTGTGATAGTGATAATGTAAATATAAATCATATTTATGAGTATTTTATTTTAAAGTGAAAGGTCATCATTAAACTATATTATTGTGTTTTAAAATTTTATATAAAATTTATGTTTGTATATCATCATTCAAAAAGAATATATTTAGGTAGAATTTAATGATACAAAGTTGTAAAATATAGTCATAATGATAGAATAAATGATAGGAAAAAGGTAAAATGGTCATTTAGAAAATTTTAAAGTATAACATTAGCAATTTAGGGGACAATTTGTAATGAGATTACAAACCTTAAGAAGGGGAATGTAATTTTTCAAACGTGAGAGACGATCTGTATTAAACAGAAACCTCAGGGTGTCAATATAATTTACCCTTAAAAAAAAACAAAAAACAAAAAACAAAAAGTTACTAGTTTTTAACCTACTTGATATGTATATATATACATTTTTTTATGACTTAGGTTGTTTGGGCCAATTTACACGCCTCTCAATTAATCTCTAAGAAATATTCCGGAGTTGTTTGAAATAATTTAAATAAATATATTTTTTCACTGTTTATGAAAAAATTTGTAAAAAAAATAAAAAGAAAATATAATCTAAAAAAATAAACAAATAAATATTAGTGTAGATGGACGTGGAGGCAATCCAGCAAATCCCTCTTTGTTGTTACGGCATTCCCGACAAATTGGTTTGGCACTATACGAGGAATGGGCTGTTTTCAGTTCGATCGGCATATCATTTGCAAATGAATATTAGTGTACGGGAGGCGCGCGGGTCTGGGTCTGGGTCTGATGTGCAAAATGTTATCTGGTTTTGGAAGCAAGTATGAAGCCTTCGCATTCCCAATAAGATTAAGGCCTTTGCGTGGAAGTGTTGTTCCAATATTCTACCGGTTAAATCAGTTCTTCAGCATCGACATATACTGACGGAGGATAGGTGTGATGGATGTGGGGATGAAGCAGAAATGGTAATGCACTGTTTATGGGGTTGTATGAGGGCGTGGGAGGTCTGGAATCAAAGTTCGATATCGTTTGTGCTTGATCACGGTGTTGGTGGTGACTTTATGGGTTAGGCATATGGAGTTGGGCGTCGGACTAATAAAGTTACACTGGGTTTGTTTTTAGTAGTTTGCTGGGGTTTGTGGTCATCGCGGAATCAAGCTATTTTTAGTAATGTCATTCACTTAGCTGCTGCGACAATTCAAATGGTGTGTGATTTAGTGCGAGATTTTGAGCGGGCTCATTCCACTGTGCGTGGTATTCCAGTGGCTCAGGGAACTGTGAAGTGGAGACCGCTGATTGGGGCAATTCTTAAAGTGAACTTCGACGGGCCATGTTCATGTGGCAGAAGGCCTGTGGGGTAGGGGTTGTGATTCGTGATCATAATGGCGTACCTATTGCAGCTTTATTAGAGAAAATTCCACAATAGATGGAGGTTGATTGTATTGAAGCTATTGCTGCTGCCAAGGCTCTGAATTTTGCAGCAGAGTTGGGCTTAACAAACATTCAATTGGAAGGTGATTCCCTTACTGTGGTCAAGTCAATGCAAGAAGATAGTCATCTTATGTCTCTGTATGTGTCTGAAAGATGTGCTTTATATATGAATTCTAGGATGGATATCTTCTTTAAGAGATTTGGGTGTTTTCTTTTTTCAGTTCTTTCAGCAGTTTCTTTCAGTGCACTCTCTTGTTATTATTTTCATACTGTCCTAATACAATGGTATCAGATCAATCAAAAGGCAAACCAATTGCCTTGGGTAGTTCAGGACTTGTAGTTCTATTTAAAACTTAGCTACTGCATCTGAGGATGTTCAAATGACAGATGGAACTCAAGCTTCTAATGTGAATGTGCAAGAAGCAGATCCAAAAGAAGTGACCTATGCTGAGAGGCTAACAAAAATAAAAGGAATTTTGTCTGGAGAGACTTCAATACAGTTGACTCTACAATTTTTATACAGTCATAGCAAGTGAGACAACAGATAATTTCCAGCTCTTTATTTATTCTGCTTTGCCCAAATTCAATTTTCAGGAGTTCCATTTGTGTACTGTGAAAAGCTTTTTTCATTAATTTTATAATTTGCATATAGGTCGGATCTTCTTATTCTCAAGACAATAAAGCAGTCTCTGGAGCCGAGAAATAGTGTCTGCCATAGTGCAACAATATATGCTAATGCAATTATGCATGCTGGGACAACTGTGGATACATTTCTCTGTGAGAATCTGGTAAATCAACATTTCACTTTCATTCTCTAAATAAGCCTTTATTGTTACACAACTTTACAGACAACAAAGCAGTCTGTGGAGCTGAGAAATAGCTCTTGGAACTGCTGATGAAGATATCTATGACGACGTAAAAACTGTGCTTTATACTGACAGTGCTGATTGTGGTTTCCTGTTTGAACCTTGTACTTACATTCTGTAAATTATCTTAGATTAGCATGTTATTTATTTAATATTTTTCTCAATTAACCACAAGATGAGTATTATCTCATCAACTTTGCTATTGTTTCAGCTCAAAAGCAGTTAATTTTGTTAGGAATCAGCTTCGGCAACACAGAGATGTTCAGGTAAAAAATTTGCCTCAACTCTGGTATACCAGTGTTATGGTTTACAAAGTTTTAACTTCTTTTGTTCTGATTTTTGTTAGCTTGTGAGGCACTTGGAAGAGTAGCTCTGGTAATGGATGCGTAGATGTTTATTTTTCTTGCACAATGCTTGATCATACCTGCAAATTTTTGTATATTACAGGACCGACGTTTACAAGATAATGTCAGCATCATCATTGTTGATTTGGGGTATGCACTTGTATGCATTAAGTTAATTTGATCTAATGTTTTCCATTCTAATCTAATGTGTCAATCTATTGTACTGATATTAACCTTTCTAATTTGGTCCTGGCTGTGACTTTTTGCAGAAGGACAAATTGGCAAAGTTTGCCTTGTTTAGAAAGAAAATTTTGTTTATGAACTGGGCCAAGCTTTTGCTACTATCGGTATTGTGTCATTAGGAGTATGGATGTCAGCTTTGCTTTCTGCATGAGTTTCAAGCCTGACTTTGTAAATAAATCCTCACGGATTTCTAATATATTTTGTGTCTAGATATATTCTGTAATTGTACATATATCACATCTTATTGCATTGTTTTTTATTTTTAATTTTGTTTTCAAACTTAGTTTATTTACTATTTTAATAAACATCAATTATTAGTTGTTAATAATTTTTATGACGGGTATTTTTTTCAACCATATAAAATTAGCACCACTTTAAAAATAAAAATAATAAAAATAAAGGCTATGGCGGCGTTTTTTGAACGTCACTATATCCCTACCCCAACGGTTAGATTTTTAAAATGTATAAATGTCTTTGACGGCGTTTCCAAAACGTTGCTAAATGTCATAGTGACGTCACAGTACAGTTAGGGTAGGGCATTTGGTGGCGTTTTTAAAAACAGCTCCTATACTAATATAACGACGTTTTCCAAATGTCATAAAGTTATAGCGACGGCCGCGTAGTCGGCGTTTGGTACTAGACGTCACAAAAAGAATTAGCAATGTTTTCAGTACCTATAGCGGCGTTTTTAAAACGCCGCTAAAAGTCGATTTTCTAGCCGTAATAATAGGGATATCTTGTGGAATCACTTATGCACACATCAATTTCTTTTCATTTGAAGATTCTATTTTATTTATTAACCCTTTCAACTGAAGACCTTTTATCACTTCTTGAAGGACATCATCGCAACCATATATTGATTGGTCAAAAATTTGTGACTAGATATTCAATTCTTCCAAAATTTTGGTCATTTTTTTCCTTTGGAACAATTTCATGTTCTTAATTCTTTTTCTCATTGTATTTATATAACCTTGAAATTACCCTTTTAAGATCAGGACTCTGTACTTTATACTTCCTATTTCAAGTGTCATCTCATTCATCATGCATTTTTTTATAAGATAGATTTTGTATTAAAAGGCACAAATCAAAAGGAGGCGCAACCCTTTATGCATCATGTGTGCGACACATAAACTGTGGCTACCCATGGGTGTGTTTGATTGGACGGACTGGAAAATGGGGGATTAGAATCCATCGGACTTGAGTCCTGGGACTCTGAATCCCCGGACTATTTAGTCGGATTGGATATGTATCCTGTGTTTGTTTTTTCATGGGATTAGATGTCTGGATAGGACTATTTTCAGTGAATCCAACGTTTGGTTGGACGGACTGGATAGGATAAATGAACAAAAGACTAGTTTACCCTTTTTCAAATGTTTATTAAGTAATAGCAATATTAAACATATCTTTAATATTTTAATTATTTTTAGTAAACATTAAACATACTAATGGTTAAATTTTGTTTAAAGATATTTAAACATACTAATATTGATAAAAAAATTTGACTGGTATAGATTATTTTTATTTAAACAAATAAAAATTTATTGTTGAAATTAAACATACTAATGGTTAAATGTTTAAATTTTTATTTAAACAATTAACATTTTTTCTACGAGTGGTGGCATGTTGTCATGTTCTGCAAGGATATGGTGTGTTGTCCTTTTAAATCTGTACATATCAATTTAACTTATTTTATCTGCCTTTTTAGCATGTGCATTTGAATTTCACTCATTCCTCCCGTTGGAAGTGGTTTTTGTTACTTATCAACCTATTTGAGACAGCTTGCTGATATATGTTTCTTTGTTGCTTAAACTCCACTTGGGAATGAGTTCTATTACACTTCGCTTTGAAGGCATCTGAGAAAGTTTGATGAAATTTCTTTAAATCCATTACCTCAGTGCCATATTCCCCTTGTTTCTGCCCATGAATAGACACTTCTACTGATTCAGCACTGGTATCTTCCATTGTATATCCATTACCTCCTGTTTCTGCCCATGAATAGAGATTTTTACTCATTCAGCACTGGTATCTTCCATTGTATATCCATTATCATACAGTAAACTTAATTTTTTTTTTAAATTTGTTTTCTTTCTGTGATGTAGGTCTCACAGAAAGCTGTGCGGGAACATTTGTCTCACTACCAAATGAGCTGGGTATGCTTGGTACTGTTGGTCCTCCAGTGCCTAATGTGGATGTGTGCCTAGAATCTATTCCTGAAATGGGATATGATGCCCTCTCAAGCACACCACGCGGAGAAATATGTATAAGGGGCGATACCTTGTTCTCAGGGTACCACAAACGTGAAGACCTCACCAAAGAGGTCCTGATTGATGGATGGCTCCACACAGGTTTGTCTACGACAGTGTCTTTCATAATTAATTTGATATAGTGCTCATAATTTTCTTTCTTAGTCAACCCTGCCCCTAACAATGTTTGTGTCAGGGGATGTTGGTGAGTGGCAGCCCAATGGGAGCATGAAAATTATTGACCGAAAGAAGAACATTTTTAAGCTGTTACAAGGAGAATATGTTGCAGTTGAAAACTTGGAGAATGTTTATGGTTCTGTTACTGGTATTGACTCGGTATGCCTCTGAACTATTGTAAATATATAAATGGAATATAAGTTTCAGTTTTGTCTCTGTGAGCATTCCAATTGTTGTCAACAAATATGGAATGTATTGGTTGTAGATATTACCAACAATGTCCTTCTAGTGATGAGAGCATGGATTTGTTTCTGATATTGTTTTAAAAGTTATGCTAGGGACCCCAAGTAAATTACCAAATAAATTGCCAAACCTCTCACATGGGTGTGGGACCCACACAAATCACATGTGTGTGGGTCCCACACCCATGTGAGAGGTTTGGTAATTTATTTGGTAATTTACTTGGATCCATAGCATTTTCCTTGTTTCAATACTTCTTGACTGTAATGACATTATAATGTGGTCTTCTTTTGTTTCTGATATTGTTTGTGTGAACCTCTTGACCGTTAAAAGTTATTCTTTTTATGTATTACCTTACATATGCTCTCTCTCTCTCTCTCTCTCACACACACACACACACATTTCCAGTGCGTTCTATTTTAAATTTCATTCCCTTTTCTGCTAAACTAATTTGTGCATGTTGTGTGCTTTTAAGCACAGGAAGAAACTTGACACAGGTCTCTATGATTGATTATATCTCACAAAATTAGTGTTTGCATTTACATGCTTTTTCCCCATCAGATTTGTTTTTTGTTTTCTTACACTTAAGGTACAAGATATTTGCCATAGGTTGATTTTGTTTTTTGTTTTCTTACACTTAAGGTACAAGATATTTTCCTGAGGTCCAACTTATTCTTTCTTGTTAAAACTTGAGGATATCTATATACTTGGTTCATTCATGCTTTTGTGCATGCTTATGGATCTGCTAAGAATGTTCTCATTTCTCACATTTGTGCACTTTTTCCTGTTGGAAACAATCCTTGGAGTGACTTAATGAATGGTCAAATCTATGCCTGTACTTTGGGGCCGTTAAAAGTTATTCTTTTTATGTATTACCTTACATATGCTCTCTTTCTCTCACACACACACACACACACATTTCCAGTGCATTCTATTTTAAATTTCAATCCCTTTTCTGCTAAACTAATTTGTGCATGTTGTGTGCTTTTAAGCACTGGAAGAAACTTGACACAGGTCTCTATGATTGATTATATCTCACAAAATTAGTGTTTGCATTTACATGTTTTTTTCCCATCAGATTTGTTTTTTGTTTTATTACACTTAGGTCATGTTTGATTCACAAGATTAATAGTGAAGTATTAATAATCCTATTAAATTAGTGTGGTATTCACTATCCAATTGGATTAATATCCATTGGATTAATAATCTCACCCCTACCCCATTACTAATAATCCTACAAATTTGTTGGATTAATTATCCATTGGATTAATAATCCTAAACCAAAATGTTAAAACAAACATAGAATAATTGGGCCCACGGATTAATAATCTCAATCCCATGCTCTAATCCACCCAATCAAACATGCCCTTAAGGCACAAGATATTTGCCATAGGTTGATTTTGATGTGTGCATCCTGAGATCCAACTTATTCTTTCTTGTTAAAACTTGAGGATATCTATATACTTGGTTCATTCATGCTTTTGTGCATGCTTATGGATCTGCTAAGAATGTTCTCATTTCTCACATTTGTGCACTTTTTCCTGTTGGAAACAATCCTTGGAGTGACTTAATGAATGGTCAAATCTATGCCTGTACTTTGGGGCTAGGAGATTGAGCATTTTGTTTATTCCAGAATCTTCTTGTGTTTGATTATGTCTGAATTTCAATCTCAGATATGGGTATATGGGAACAGCTTTGAGTCTTTCCTTGTTGCTGTTGTAAACCCAAATAAGCAAGTACTTGAACGTTGGGCTGAAGAAAATGGTGTACCTGGGGATTTCAATTCCCTCTGTGAAAATCCCAAGGCAAAACAAAGCGTACTTGTAGAGCTCACACGGATTGGAAAGGAAAAGAAGGTTTGTGTCTTTTACACTTCCAACCACCTCTCATTTCTACTTCCATTTGATAGTTGAATGATAATCTGAGTTAGCAGAGGGGAAGAAAACGTTATTTACTTCCAGAAGATTTCTGAAACTTTTGTGATGTGCCTGGCAGTTGAAAGGGTTTGAATTTATAAAAGCTGTTCATCTTGACCCCGAGCCATTTGACATGGAGCGTGACCTTCTGACCCCAACATTCAAGAAGAAGAGGCCTCAGTTGCTCAAATACTACCAGGTAGCTCTTCTTGATTCTCTCAAGGAATCTCATGGCATGCCATTGTACTATGTTCATTGACTAGATGCTTTGACCCAAAAATGGTTTGAAATATGTGAAATGTGTATTAGAATTCTAATTTTTTTCCGGCGAGACTTGAGAGGAATCGGGAGGAAATCATTTCATTGTAGAAAAATATGTATTAGAATAATCTGTGGAGAAGAAAAGCCAAAAATTGACCCCCCTCGAGTTAAAATCCTGGTTCCGCCCTTGGCCATGAGTGTTTGAACATTGGAGATTTCTAGTTCACTCCATGTTGCCATCTGCCAAGCAACTAGTGCATGCAAGAACTTTTAGTCGACTAAAATTTCCAATTATCTTTTTTTGAATTTGTTAATTTGTCATTTCTGTTTATGACTACTTTATAGTACTCTTTTTTTTTTTGGGTGGCACAGTACTAAGGGGAAATCTTTGTGTTGCATTGCAGAACATTGTTGACAACATGTACAAGGGTGCAAAGTAAGCAAACTGCCTGAAGATGGTGTTTTCTAAATTTTAACAGCCCTAAAAAAGGGTCTTCGTTCTTCGATGCTATTGCCAGTTTTGGCTTTTTGGCATCCCACTCTCTGTATATATTGTTGGTTACTTGTACAACCTTGATGATTAGTGCTATACAAATCAACAAAACTTGCAAACCGATGTGGCACCAATCATGTTAATTTATTGGATTCAATTTCACTTTTCATAGTTCTATTAATGCATGCCAAAACCAAATCTTGTTCAGTTCTATCGAAGCTGTGTTTTCTCTAATTATTAGGGCTGAGCAAGGAATCCGTAAAATCTGTAATCCGATCTAGTCCAGTCCAATCCGATAGGTTTGGATTGGTTTTTTAAATCCGCGGTTCGGTTCCGGATTGAAAAATTAAAAATTCGTAGTACACGGATTGGTTTTGGATTGAACCCCACGGTTCCTGATTGGAACCAATCCGGACCGCATACAAATAGTATATATTTTTATTATACATCCTCCCCCATAGTATCTTCTCTTATTTTATATAAAATCTAAACTCAAACCTAAAACCGTATAATATCTTCTTTTATTATTTTTGTTTGTTAGTTTTTAATTTTAATTTGTAATGGTTTAAATACTTATGGTGAAATTAGTTTTCTTATGGTTGTTTAAATTCTAGAACAATATGTCATTGTTATAGAAATAGATGTTGCTATTGTGAAACTAATATAGCGCTATGTTTATATTTTTATGAAATTAAAGTGTTATATATATATATATTTGTTATTTAATTATGTGAATCTGTGGTCCTAAACCTATTCAATCCGTATTTAAATGGATTGGTTTGGATTGGTTCCATAATTTAAACGGATTGGATTGGTTCCAATTTTTCAGGAACCGTAGATAACGGATTGGTCCTGATTTTACTCCAATCCAGTCTAATCCGAACCATGCTTACCCCTATTTATGCATAGAAGAGTTAAAAAGCTAATAAGTTAAATAAGAGATTACTAAATAAATTAACTTTTGTAAGTAACAATTTATTTATCAACTTATTTTAAGCCAATAAGTTAATTTAAAAGTAGTGTGTCAAAGAAAACTTAAAAAAACCTTTCTATAAAGTGCTGAGTTAAAGAGAGAACATGCCTCACATAGAAATGATGGGTGGGGGAAAAAATTAAATTACAATTTCTACTGGAATGAAAGACACCCCCCATATACATATATTGTTTGATACCTCACCAAATGAACTGCAATAAATATTATGTTATATCACGCCATGACTTGAATAAATAAATTACAGTAACAACCATATGTTTCCAAGAGAACCTCAAATTTCCATCAGAATTTAGATATTCATCTAACAATTACACATACTAGGTTACAAAGAAGGATCACAATTGGGAAGTTTAAATCCCACAAGAAGTATCAATAATACTATCAGTCAGCTAATCTCCATGAAGCAATCCCAAAAAGAAGAAAAAAAATGACAATGGCAAAAAAGATAAAAAGCTAAAAACTAAAACTAGTGAAATATCTAACGCAGTCAGTCTAATGTGAGAATTATACAATACCAAACCATCAACTACTCTTTGTCGCTATTCATGTTGCTCTTCATTTTGTAGCATTTGCAGAGAAGAAAAGAAGCAACAACTGAAGGATGTGACAAAAGAAAGGAGTGGGTTGTGGCCAATTTGCCTATTTTAAGACATCAATTCTTCTGAGAGGGATGATGAATTGGTGCTGATCTTCATGCCTTTGCCGTAAGCAGCAATGAGTAGTGCCTCAGCTCGACCTGCAAGTGCCAGATCCACAGAACATAAAAAGCTATAGAGGACGTAAGTAGTTAGTGTGAACAACACAGGCACAAATAACTCTTTTGCTGAACCAAACGTATCATTTGTTTACCATAAGAAACGATCATTACCCCATGCTGATCTAACCCGGAACAAAACTATACTTCCACTTTTTTTTTTGGTGGCCTCACAGCCCCAGCTTTTAAACCATTGTACAGATAAACTAAAAAACACCAAGATAAGCTGCCATTAGAAAATTAAAAAAAAAATAAAAATCATGTAGCCTACAGTTTGATGGTGATATATGACCCCTTGCCTGTTTTTCAAAACAATGGCAGAATAGGTTGAGGGAATGAATTGCTTGGCTTGCAAATGTGTGCACTGTAGGGGTTTGTGGCTCCTTCAGAGAAAGTGAACTTCCCTCAAACTAGGGTGTTCTGATCCCCAAGCTTTGTTTTCTGTCTTAAGTTTAAACTGTTGAATTCAAAGAACTAAAAGAGGGAGGTGTTCAACAATTTAGACATCCAATTACGACTGTGGAAAAGACATCGCTCTGGTCAGCTATTGCCTTAAAACTGAGCCGAAGCAAGTCAATTTGAAATGTAAATTCGGGAAATTGGCACTGGAGAATACTGATCTTTCAGATCGCTTTCCATTCGTACAATAGTGTATTACAGGGTATTAAGAACACAATGGAATTCAAAGGCGAGTGCAGGAGAATCAAATGAACAAGGAAATAATTCGTTCTTTCCAGGGTTTAAGAACCAGAAAGAAGATGAGGATTGCCTGGCATAGAATTCATCCATACTGATGTCTCATTATGTGGATGGAGAAATTGTTCTGCACAAAGAGGCCGCAACTTGACATAAGTGATGACGCCACCTATCAACGATGTTGCAACATCATTACAATCGATCCAATGAGGATGTTGGACTGATGCTGGTGGGCTGACAAACTTACTTTGCATTGGAGGAAAGTATCTGAAGCTAGATGAATAACGCTACATTGTCAAATATATGTATGACAACATTTCTCTATCAAAGATGGAAGACCTTCAGTCCGGGCATGAAAAACTTTTGACCTCCAAATAAAGCATGACTACAGGAAAAAGAAGACAACTACCATTATGGTAGATGATATACAAAAAAAAACTTGGAAACCCATTTCCATTTTATTGGATAGAGGATGAGAACCACCTAGGAAGAATGGACACTCCAAAATGCATTTTGTGTTTGTGTCTGACACCGACATGATGCGTACAAATGTGTCCACCTGTCAAACACGCCACACCCTCTCCCTTCAAATCAAGTTATAAACAAAGATAGAGTGAAGTCTGACACCGACATGATGAGTACGAATGTGTCCACCTGTCAAACACGCCACACCCTCTCCCTTCAAATCAAGTTATAAACAAAGAAATTAAATCTAACTATTAGCACCTATTAATAGTTTACCCTAAACTGTAAATAAATCCCATGATAAGAATGGAATGTTCAATTAATTCAATTCTTACCATTGACTTTCCAGTCCAGGGTATAAAAGAATGAACAAAAAAAATATAATAGAGCACTTTTAAAATTTTTAAAACGAATTTTACATTATTTAAGGAGGGGCACTATTATAATTTTATAAAGGACACAAAAGATATAAACTTCATATATAAGGGAAATAGTATAAACATGAAAAACTTAGGGAGGGGCATGTGACCCCCCGGTACTATATTGGCTCCGCCGCTGCCCACGTGAGACTTGTTGGACAACAACATATGTTCACCCATGCATTCACACATCCTTCTATTTTATTTTTAATTTTTAATAATCTGGACACTTCTTGAGCATGCAATCTGCACGTGTTAAATTTTTAAGGTTTTGTCATACATGTCTAGGGTTTTGTGGAAGGTTTAGCAAAAGATAAAATAAGAGGCAATCTAATAGAATAAAGCCCTGCCTCAAAATAACATTAGAAACAAAAATAGAATAGGAATACGAAGAATTAATAAGCACCACTCAAGTTTGGCAACGAGACAGTTTCAGTTAGCTGAGACGAGGTCGGTTATAACCACCCTAGTTCTTAAATGTGCCTTCATCTTTTCTAGATTCTATAGTTTCCTATATGTGTATGTGTTCTCTCTTTTGTAGATTCTATAGTTGTCCTTTGTTTTTGTTTTTGTTTTTTTTGTTTTGTTTTGTTTTGACATATTTCACAGTTGTTAAATATACCCATTAGTCCTTGAGCATTTTATTTTTTGAAACCGTACACCCTATTAGTTTACTATCTATATATAAATACTTGGGACTTTCAAAATGGAAATTGGGGTATTTTGCTCCCAATTCTTTTCCAACATATAAATGACACTAATTAAGTTACTGTTAGAAATTCTAGTATCTGTATTCATGTTATGTCATATTTGTGTCATGTGTCTATATTGTGTTTACCAGAGAACAATCCCAAGTTATCAAAAATATATATATATATATATAAATTCTAAGTTTCAAAAAGGCTGAAATTTTATGAAGTCCAAATATCAAATTTTAAATGCGTTGAAAAAGTAAAAATAAAAGTGTCTTCTCATGTTAGTACGTAAATGCCTATAAAGGTGCTAATTGGAAACTTGAGTTGAAATGCAATTCAGCATATATCTATGCTATAGTTAAGTAGAACCAACTCAAGGCAGGAACAGCCCAGTGTGTTTTTAACTCCCGTGATGAGACAAAATAAATAAAAAACAAACTGTTGTCTCAACAATTTCTCCATAAAATTTTGCGAATTCAGTACACCTTGATTCAGAAAAAATAATTCAGCATTCCAAATGCCCTCCCCTTACTGAAATTTCCAACAATCTCATTTGCATATCCTTGGGTTGGTTCAAGGTATTATTGCTTTGCGTCTTACTTGAGAAGATCCTTTACTGTTAAGCTATATTTGCTAGCAAAAGAGCCTATACTATGTAGTTTCCTTCTGTCTTTATAGCAAACAGAAGTCATTAAAGAGAGCAAAAAGGAAATATGTATCTAGGAGAGTAATATACCATGATCTTTCTTCCTTTTCAACAGGGAACTCATAGATGGAAATAATGTGGATGCAGCTTCCCTGCTATCATCCTGCCAAATTTGGACATCTTTGATAAATTAAAGGATGCATATATAATTCTCATAAAATAGCATATAAGTTCTAAGAAAAAAATGAGTATGAATGATGGCAGTATTAGCATCTTCTTTTCAAGTATTTTGTTGTTGGGTTCGTAAACCCATCAACCTGTCATTTTTTGTTGAGTAGTGCCATTCCCATTTGTAAACACGTTGGAAGGTAGTAAGAATTCCATGGGCAACAATGAGAGTGGGTTGAATTGTGTTGGGACTCTTGGTGATAACTCATCTGTTCAGATTAATCCTGTCAGGTAGGATGGCAACAACTATTTGATTTGATCATACTCTTATAGCTTGGCAATCGTCTCTCGTAGCCAAACTAGTTGATTCAACATCTAGTGCATGACTAAACAAGTACATTAATCTTTAGAAGTACAAAGCAAAGTATGGGTCCAATGATCATTAAGAAGCCTTTTTGATCCAAAGAAAAGTGTTCATGACAGTGTTTAGTGGTTATACGATATTTTAGTAATTTCATATTTGCTGAACATGGGTTGCGGGGTGGCTCATGGATTTTCTTTTGGGTCCAGTTATTAAGTGGATCATTTTTATGAGTTTTATTATGTCCAGAATAGTGTTAGTGGTAAAAAGATCGAAGTTTCTTATTTTGATTTCATATCATAGTTGGAGTAGAATTAGAAGTTATAGCTATAGTTAGTCTAGAATACTTGTAGACTTGTAGTTACTAAATATTCTTAACTTCTGGATCTAGTCCTTGTAGAAATAGTAGTCTTTAGCCTATAAAAATTCTTTTCTCCATCTTTATTATCTATGCTAGCATAAAAATTGCCATAGATTTTGAACATCTGTAGCTGTATATTGCAACCTCCATGATAATCCTAAGACCTGAAGATGGGAGGAAGAGGCTGAGTAGTATACTACAACTGTTGATTGGAACATTTTCAGCTTAGAGTACCAAAGCCATATTAAAGCAACCACTACAAGCTCATGCATTTTTAAACCCTTGACATGTAAGTTTTGGGTCAAACAGGCGAAGGCTACTCAGCTTCTTCCATTAGGATTCTCATTCTTGAACATGTGTGGACTGCCTTATGGTAATTAAAGGCTTAAAAAACACAAGTTAGATCACAGTGAACCCTATATCTGCAGTAAATTTTTAAAAATGAGTTTGATATCGTAAGGAATATATTCTTATTGTCTAGTGAAAAACAATGAATGAAACTTTACAATAATTAAACTTAATCTTAGTGCAAGTTTCTTCAGAATTTTAATGAAGGGAATTTCAAAGTAAACAAATATTTATGTATACTCACATTATTACATATATAACCTAAATGAAAGGTGAGACATGCTTATGCCACTTTGTGAAGCATCAAGCGCACCTTACTTGAGCGGTTTCGGAGAGTTTGAGCTCATTCTTCCATACAGAAGATGGCACTGGAACAACAGAAAACCCTGATGCAACTAAGATCCCAATCCACAGTCCATATCCAAATCCTCCACCCCACCATCCCTTCATTGCAAAAGAAAATAATATGCATCATTGATGGTGAAAATTTTGTTGGCAAACACAAGAAGCCAAAGGGTTCTATGTTCAGAATGTACGACAGCCCAAAAGAACAAACAGAGATTAGGTAGGATCCTTCTGCCGCGAAGACACCATAGAAAGTACTTGCACAAAATTTGGTCCTGTTTGGATTTGTTTGTGTTCTTAATTTCCCTATTTGATGTTTTCAAAATGTTTAAAGACTAACAGTTGTTAAACAATATTCAGAAGATGACAGTGTCATTTTGAAACAACAATCAGAACATGTTCCAATTAGAAAACAAAACCTAGAAACAAGTTTCACATCAGTGGTCATAAAAAGTGAAGATAACAAAGGGTGTCCATAACTGAGTCACACGCACACACACGTACATATGCAGAATGTGCGCACAATATCTCATGGGGACAGACTTGAGAGACGCTTGGGAAGTAATTAAGTCTTGAACAGATAACAAATAAGAAATGTGGATAGTTCTCCATCCCAAATCTAATATTAATTTTAAAGTGCCAAAGTGAAAAGGTAGCTGCCATATCAGTAAATCTATAGAAGCAAGAATGAAAAGCACATAACAATTTTTTCCCTTGATATATGGAAAAAGCACACCATTTTAACCAGATTCAAATTCAAGTTGGATCACTGAGAAAGTGGCCCAAGGCCATGAGCAATTTAAAAACAGCATGCAGAAAGAACATTTATTTGCTGATACATGCATTCATTGGCATAAGAAAAAATGCTCAAAAAAAAATCAATCCATGTACTAAAAAATATTGAATAGTCGTTAGAAACTTCTAATTGTGAAGGATCAAATGCTCATGAGCATATGAAAAAATCATATACGTAAAAAAATGTTTTGGAAATAAACTAACAGACATAACATACATGACATCAATGCCATGCAAGGTCTGAAAAGAGAAAGAATCAAAATATCAGCATTATCATAACAATAGTGATGACAACAACAAAGACCAACTGCTGTGCAGCAGTATTAATTCCTAATGCAACACAAATAATTAGCATTTCTATCGATTAGGAATTTTTGCTAACCTGTTTACCATCTTGAGGAAAAGGTATTGATTGCTCTACATATGCAGTAGTCCCTGAATTAAGAAAATCTCAATTCAGTATAGATATCTTTCAGCATGGAATGCAGTTGAAGAATAGTACATGATAACAATTATCTTGGAACCATAACAGAATTAACAATATAATTGAAGAACAATACATGATATAACTGTACATGGTCTTGGATAGAGCTCAACCCCAAAAACTAGTTATTAGGGTGAGGGTGCCCTCACGCTTATATGCTTAACATTACTTTAGGGGGTGCTTAGGAAGACGGATTTTTTGCTTTTTGGGCTAAAATAACAATAAAAGACAAAATATGCTAAAATAGCCAATAAGACAAAATGTCACATCAAACCCATAACCATTTCACTTTTTCTCTCACAAACATCACATCCAATAACAAAAAAATCCAACCCTCTTTTCAAACACAACTATTTTAACCTATTAAAATAGCCAAAAATTAAAATAACTTACTAAAATAGCCAACTTCCCAAATGGGGCCTTAGTATTCAGGTGATGTGGGACTTCGCTTCACACGCTCCCTCATGCTCAGTGTGCTCACTCGGCAGCACCTGTGGCTTGAGGCCAAGGGCATGCACCCTACCCATCCGTGAGTACACCGGCTCTGATACCATGTAATACGGTATACCCAAGAATGTATCTTATATTGAATAGATTATTAGAGAATGACTTACACACTTAAATAAGAAACGCAAGAAACCCTAAAGGCCTAATTACAAAGTAGTAAGACTAAACTACCCTCACATACTAAATAAGATAAAACATAATATCTCACAATAACAATACATTTATATCATTTAGCATGACTATCGTGGTCAATGAATCAAGAAAATCTCAATTCAGTTTAGGTATCTTTTATGTAGTTGAAGAACAATACATAATAAAACAATTATCTAGGAAACCACAACAATAATGCTTGTAATAAAAGATTTGAATTAAAAATCAACAAAGGATAACATTTTCTCAGATTGATGAGGCTTTTAGAATCTCTTGCAAGTAGACAATGCTGTCTTTGAAAGTTTCAAAGAGCTTATTTGAAGTTGTATGTTTGGTACTCCTTTATGCCTCTATAGGAAGTTGTTTTGAGCTAAGTAAGCTACTTGTTGTGATGCTCATTTGACGATTATGTCCAAGGGAGGGAAGGAAGGAAGAAAGAAGTTCAATGTTAGAATTCCTTCTCTCAAGTGTTCTTGTCTATTGGATGCATAGTATTAGTCACTCTTGTCATTTTGTCACATTCCTTAGCCTTGCTTTGGAAGACATCCTTTGCCAACCTATTGGTCTCATCCCAACAACATGAGTACTTTTCTGCACAAGTATGTAGGTCAGAGGTGAAGTGGCTTGGGAAAATGGGGAACTATCTAAGCTTTAGCAAGAGGATATGGGTACTTGATGGGGGTTGTCATCTTTGCACATGTGGTTGTTTAGCAAAGGTTGCAGCTTCAATGAATTCAAAGAAGGATGAGTTGTAAGATTCATTTTTCGAGCAAGGAAATGCAGCACATGTTCCTCATCTATGGCTGTACGTGAGAACTGTCATTCCATCCCAAGTGGTGTTAAATACCAAAACTTTGTGACAAGATTCCTAAAGGGGGAGTTCTGACGTAGTAAAATAATATCTTTAAATACAAGTGTCATTAGTTGGTTAAGTGTCAATTGTGGTTGTCAGTGGTCTTAGTCTATAAATAGATGATGTAAGGATCATAGTACTTAATTTTAATTGAAGATTGTAAAATATTGACTAGAGCTAAGTGCTCTGGTTTTCTCTCTAACCATTGGGGTTATCCCTAGGTTGGGTTTTTTTCTTCTCTATCTAGATTTGATATTTTTGGCCGTTGATATAGTCAAGTGGAGAAGAAGGATTTATATAGCCGACCCTATTTGGTAGGACTTAAGGCCTGGTTTAGTTTGGTTTGGCTTATCAAGATTCGATATTTTGGTTGAGATAAGAAGAAAAAAGGAGAGAAAGGGGGAGAGAGAGAGTGGCAAATATTATAACGTACCAACGGGAGCATCAAAACTCTTAAGCAACTGGACAATGGATTTAGCATCTAAACGTCGTCGGATCCTTTTGCCCACCAATACTTTTAAGTGAGGAGAATCAAATACCTACAAGATGAGAGAAAATATTATAAAAATTAACTAATGAACTAGATTGTTTTATCAAGAAAGAAATACCATTCTAAACAAGATAATGGAACTTATGGAAGTCTTGAAGGAAATCCTAAGTTGAAAGAAAGAAGTCAAGTTTTCAATTTCTAAAATAGTCCTCATACAAAATAAGGTCAGAACCAGTACACAAGGCTCCCCCACTTATAGCACGATTTGGGAGAAATAGTAGGTAGGCAACCTTACCCTCGTTTTTTTGTAAATACGTTGATTCCTGTGACTCAAACCTACTCCACAACGCTAGGAGCAGATAGTACTTGTCATCATGCCCTATGTTACTTGGACTTGGGTATGGGTGCATATCTAGAGGTCGGATCCATTGAATTACAAATTTAAGGATATGCAAACTCAGCAAAAATGGTCATATTTTTATAATACCATCTAGCCATAAAATTCCGGATCGACCTCGAAGTTGGTATCGTGAGAGGCGAGCAGATGATGGCCAGAGAATGCCACGTCGCCTTACTAAAGGAAGTCAAAATGAAGGAGGCTATGATCATCGAAGGTCTCGACGTCAGAGATGAGGAAGAGTTAGTCAAAGGGGAGCCAGTGGAGGAACTTGTCGAAGTGCCTATCGATCCTATCAATTCAGCCAAAATAGCTAGGATTGATAGCCACCTGTCTTCTTAGGCCAAGGCTGATCTCACGGCTCTCTTAGTCGAGCACAACGATGTCTTTGCTTGGACCCATTTTGACATGCCAGGTATCGATCCCTCTTTCATCACTCATCGTCTTAGTATTGAGCCCCACTTCCGACCTTTCCGACGGAGGCATCATATTTTTCATCCGGAACGCAATACCCTCATCGCCTCTGAGGTAGACAAACTACTGAAGGCACAGTTCATAAAAAATGTGGACTACCCCAGATGGCTATCTAACGTAGTCTTGGTCTGCAAAAATAATAGTAAATGACGACTTTGCGTTGACCATTCCGACCTTAATCGGGCTTGCCCCAAAGATAGTTATCCCCTCCCCCGGATAGATCTGTTGGTCAACGCAACTGCAGGACATCAGATGCTTAGCTTCATGGATGCTTTCTCCTGCTATAATCAAAACCTGATGCTCTGGTCGACCAGGAGCACACCTCCTTCATCACCGACAAAGGGACTTATCATTATCGTGTTATGCTATTCGGCCTGAAGAATGCCGGAGCAACTTACCACTGCCTGGTTAATGCCATCTTTTAACACCAGATAGGTCAGAACATGGAAGTCTACGTCGATGACATGCTAGTCAAGAGTAAACTCTCCTCCAATCACTTGGCAGACCTGCGAGAGACCTTTGAAATCTTACGCAGATATCAGATAAAGCTGAATCTGGAGAAGTGCGCCTGTGGTGTGGGATCTGGGAAGTTCTTGGGCTTCATGGTTAGCCAATGAGGCGTTGAGGCTAACCCCGAAAAGATCAAGGCCCTGATAGAAATGTGGTCTCCTAGAATGGTCAAGGAGGTTCAATCGCTCACGGATAGAGTTGCCGCCCTCAACCGCTTTATTTCCCGAGCAACGGACAAGTGTCTTCCATTTTTCAAAGTCTTTCGACAGGCATTCGAATGGAGCACCGAATCTGAAGAGGCCTTCCAACAACTGAAGCAGTGCATAGCCAACCCTCCCCTCCTCTCTCAAGCGCTGCCAGACAAAACCTTCTTCCTCTACTTAGCTGTGTCAAACACTGCGGTCAGTGCTACCCTCATCCGAGAAGATGGCTCAGTACAACGTCCAATCTATTACATTAGCCGCGCTCTTAGGGGGCAGAACAGAATTACCCCCTGTTAGAAAAAATGTCCCTCGCCTTGGCCATAGCCTTCATACGCCTCTGACCTTATTTCCAAGCTCACTCTATAGTGGTTCTCACTGACCAGCCTCTGAAAAGGGTCATGCAACAACCAGAATTGTTAGGAAGGCTTATGCAATGGTCGTCCAGCTAAGTCAATTTGAAATCTCCTACCGACCTCGAACAGCAATCAAAGGCCAAGTTGTCGCTGATTTTATCTTGGAGTTCACCAATCTCACTCTGAACGTACCTCCTTCACCAGCACACTTCACCACTGATGTAGAAGACCCCCACTCCTAGACCCTTAATGTTGATGGCTCATCCCGTAAAGAGGGTAGTAGAGCCGGTCTAATCCTCACCACCCAAGAGGGTGAGTACTTCAAGTATGCCCTCCGTTTCCTATTCGACGAGAGCAATAATGAGGCCGAGTATGAGGCCTTGATAGCAGGTCTTCAACTGGCCCGAGACATTGGCGTAAGCCATATCTAAGTATTCAGTGATTCCCAACTAATTGTCAGACAGATTACTGGGGAGTTCGATGCAAAGGAGGAAACGATGCGAGCATACAGGGACATTGCCCTTCCTCTTGTCAGCCTTTTCAATACTTTCCAGATTAGACACATCCCTATGTCAAAAAACTCCAAGGCGGACGAAATGGCTCAGCTGGCCTCGGCCAACCAGTCAAACTTCAGTCATGGCATCCGTATTAAATACCTGACCTATCTGGCGACTTCACAAAATCCACAGGAGATCCACTTCCTCCAAAATGAACCTATCCCATGGGCTCAAGATCTCAGTCTATTTTTTATAGGAGGGGAGTTACCGGATGATAAATAGCAGGCCGCTAAAGTCAGAGCCCGATTGTCCAATTATATCCTTATCAGTGGTCTACTATACAAATGGGGATTCTCATGCCCATACCTCAGATGTCTCAGTCCTGCTCAAGCGACCTATACGATGAGAGAAGTACACGAGGGCATTTGTGGTAATCGTTTAGATAGAAGATCTCTAGCTCATAAAATCTTCCACACCGGCTACTTCTGGCCCATACTCAATCAAGATGCCAATGAATTTGTGCTTAAGTGTGATAAATGCCAGTGCTTTGCTAATATCCCCCATTCTCCACCAACGGAACTGATTACACTCAGCAGTCCCTACCTCTTCGCTAAGTGAGGCATTGACTTAGTCGGTCCTTTGCCCACTAGCAAGGGCCAAACCAAGTTCGCTGTGGTTGCCATTGATTACTTCACCAAATTGGTGGAAGTAGAACTCCTTGCTACAATTACTGAGAGAAACACCACCATGTTCATCTGATAGTCGATCGTGTGCCGATTTGGTATCCCCCAAGACATTGTCCCGGGCAATGGAAAACAATTCGACAATGCCAAGTTCAGGAAATTCTGTGAAAAGCTCAACATTAGACCATGTTTCTTTTTCCCAGGCTATCCCCAAGCCAATGGGCAAGTCGAAGTCACCAGTTGCTCCATTCTGAAGATCATCAAGACTAAGTTTGAAGCCGCCAAAGGACTCTGGGCTGAGGAATTACCAAACGTGCTCTGGGCTTATCAGACGACAGTTTGCACCCCCACTGGGGAGACCCCTTTTCGCCTAACATTTGGCGTCGAGGCAGTCATCTCAGTGGAAATCAACCTACCGAATAAGCAGAACTAAGACAAAGTACATGGAGTGTAAATTTAGTAACAGTAACAATGAAAGTAGAGGAGAGGTGAAGATTGAGAATCAAAAACTGCCTAAAAGTGAATATTTTTGTTATTTAGCGTCAATTATCACAACAGCAGGAGAGATTGATGCAGATGTGACCCATAAGATTAAGGTGGGATGGAGCAAGTGGAGAAGTGCGTCTGGGGTACTGTGCGATTGACGAATACCCACTAGACTTAAAGGTAAGTTCTATAGAACGGCTAGTAGACCAGTGATGTTGTATGGGACAAAGTGTTGGGCAAACAAGAAACAACATGTAGATAAGATGGGTGTGGCTGAGATGAGAATGCTAAGGTAGATGTGTGGCAAGACTAGACAAGACAGAATTAGGAATGAGTACTGTATTCGGGAATGGGTAGGAGTAGCACCAATAGACGATAAGCTGAGAGAAAATCGATTGAAATGGTTTGGTCATATTCAACGGAGACCAACAGAGGCAGTAGTGAAGAGATGCGATGCTGTAACGGTAGATGGAAGTGTTAGGCGACGGGGTAGGCCTAGATTAACATTGGTTAGTGTTGTAAATAAAGATATGGATCTACTTAACTTGACTAACGAAATGGCCTTTGATAGGGCTGCGTAGAGAATAAGGATTCATGTGGCCGACCCCATTTGATGGGACTTAAGGCTTGGTTTGGTTTGGTTTATCAGTGACCATTTCCTGATCCTGATCATCCTTCATTACTACATCTTTCTCAATACTGTCATCTTCATCAGACATTAGATCTTTCTCTAATTCTTTCAGCTTCTGCCTCAACAAAGCCTTCTCAGAGAGTTTCCCAACCAATCCATCATCTGCCTTTCGATCTCAATTTTCCTTCTCAAATGCTGAATTGGTTGAACTGGATGGGCTTTAGAAATTGAACCTTTCTCTTCCTTCCCTATTGCTCTAGCAGTAAGAATCAATCCATCTCTAGTCCATACTAGATCCTGTCTTCCAGCTAGCCCATCACCTGCAGCTGTAGACATCATAGCATGGAATCTCTTTTGTTCTCTCCTTTTCTGAGTTCTTGTTTCTCCTATTTGCCTCCAACCACTCATTAGGAACTTTGGGTGAGAAACCCCTTGCCACCCTAGATGAAATGGTACTGGTGGCTACACCATCCTTGGTTGAACTAGATGTATTTCTGGCCTCATTCTTGGGCCATGATATTGCTGTTGAAATCCTCCAAATGGTCCTACAAACTATTGTTTCCCTCTATATGGCCTTCTCGCCTGTTGATGACCACTGTATGACAAACCAGACTACTATTGTTGGCCACTGTATGGCCTGGTCACAACCTTTGGACTTCCATAGGATTTAGCACCCTTGTATTGCTTGAGCATAGCCCTGGCATTGCTTGATCCACCAAAACATGGATGAACATGAGCTCTTTGGAATAAAAATGGAGCATCATCCTTGCCATAGTTCTCTGTGGGACCAAATATTCCTGGATCTGTCCCATCATAGAACATACAATCATTATAAAAAATTTGCAAAATACCACTGCCCA